AGATAGATAGATAGATAGATAGATAGATAGATAGATAGATAGATAGAAAGAATGAATGAATTAATTCTTTATTGGTCAAGTGTGATTGGACACACAAAGAATTTGTCTTGGTGCAAATGCTCTCAGTGTACATAAAAGAAAAGATACATTCATCAAGAGTCAAGAATCATAAGTACAATACTTAATAATAGCTATAGGATACAATAAGCAATCAAATCATACCAGGAAACAAGTCAATAAAGTTGTTAGTATATAAGCAACAAAGTTACAGTCATACAATCACAAGTGGGGGGGGATTGGTGATAAGGAGTGATGAGAAGATTAATAGTAATAGTAATGCAGACTTTGTAAATTGTTGGACAGTGTTGAGGGAATTATTTGTTTAGCAGAGTGATGGCGTTTGAGAAAAAACTGTCCTTGTGTCTTAGTTGTTCTGGTGTGCAGTGCTCTATAGCGTCATTTTGAGGGAAGGAGTTGAAACAGTTTATGTCCGGGATGTGAGGGGTCTGTAAATATTTTCACAGCCCTCTTTTTGACTCGTGCAGTATACAGGTCCTCGATTGAAGGCAGTTGTTTTTTCTGTAGTTCTAGTTACTCTCTGAAGTCTGTGTCTGTCTGGTTGGATTTCAGAACCAACCAAATTTGATGAAATTACCGTTAAACTGATCACAGCTTGGCTAATGATGAAGGCCCAACAGTCAAGACATACATTTCATAAATAAAGATGGTGTTTTTCAACATGCAAAGCACAATTTGTCTTTTTAAATAAAAATAATATATAACTGAATATTGCAGGTTATAATATTGCAAGCTCAGGAGACTTTAGGATAAAAACGAAGTGCAAATTAATATTAAAACCAAAAAAAACTACAAAGAAAAAAACAGAAAGCAAGGCAAAGCGTGAGATGGATTACCATTGTCAGCTAGTTGGAACCCAGATAATTATAGAGTTAAAGCAGAGTGGGGATCGCATGTATTTCTGGGAGAAGAATAATCTAATATAGAGACTATTATAGATTAGAAAAGCTTTTTTGAAATTTTACCTCTCTAGAGTGCTATTCATCACCCACATGCCAGTTGAATCTCAGCTATTTGTCGTTTTCTTGGTTATTTCATCAATGTTCCTAGCATCTTAAGTAGAAGCAAGTTGAGATTTCAAGCATTCCTTTGTTAACAGATACCGGCTGTGAAGGAAGTACAGGTAGTCCTTGACTTACAACTGTTCATTTAGTGGCCGTTACAGTTACGAAAGCACTGAAAAAAGCGACGTACGACCATTTTCCCCTCTTATGACCTTTGTAGAATCCCCATGGTTACGTGATCAAAATGTGTGTGTTTGGCGACCGGTTCATATTGATGAACAGTTGCAGTATCCTGGGGCCCCTTCTGACAAGCAAAATGGGGCAAGGCTCACTTAATGAATGCCTCACTTAGCAACATAAATTTTGGGCTCAATTTTGGTTGTAAGTCGAGAACTACCCATATTTCTTTTCTCTTAGAGATATCTAATTGGCCATCTGGCAAAGATGCTATCATGTCCATCTTGCATCAAGCAAATAGATAGTTTAGGCTGCTCTTAGGGCCCCTCCTGAGGGGACATTTAAATTTCCTGAGTTCCTGAGAATTATACAAGCCAATGATTTTTGTAGACAATTTGGAATCATCTAAATGTACCTTTCTAATAAGTGACTTCAAAATCTAGTCATTATCGGCCTTGACCATACTGACTGGGGAACTGAGGAAGTTTAGTATAGTCATGGTTGTTCATTCAATTACTACATTTTGAAATTACATATTGGGAAGGCTCACTTAGATGATCTCAAGTTCTCCATAAAAATATTGGCTTGCATAACTCTGCCACTTTGGGCTAATTAGAACTCTGGAGAGTTCTCTCCAACAGCATCCTCAGTTATAGTTTACTCTTTATTGTTTTGGTTTCTTTTTTTAATGTGATTTTCCTTGAGAGGGAATGTAATAATTTTCTCTACCATCATGGGGAATGAAATGTCTTAGATTAGCCTGTTTCATTGTCAGAAGTTAAGATTGGGGTGAATAGAAGTATATTAAATTTCTACCAGAAAGAGGAAGGCTTGTATAGATAATGCGAGCATAGACAGAACTAAATTGAATCCAAGAAGAGTAATCGAAGCTATAGATTTAGGTAGTATTGAATTACTATATACTAAGAGTAGCTACATAATACTTTCTAGAAGAGCACATGATTAAATGTTGTTATATTTTTTAGAAAGGGGTAGGAAACCTGTGATCTTTTAAATCAGACTTCTCCAAAGAGGTCAATATACAACCCAAGAGTTGATGGAACTATCCATTACTGTTGTTGTCGTTATTTGAAGTACCTTTAGCTAAAGTAATATTTATTGAATTATTTTCATATAAATGTTTTGGGGGTCAGTGAACAATCTGAAACTTCACAAAGAGTCAATGAGCTGAAGAGTCTTGGGGCTCCTGTTTTAGATGTTGCTGAACTACAGCTGTCAATAGTCCAATAAATGATGTGAATTATGAGTCCACAACAATGAGAGCATAAAAGTTCTTCAGATCTCATTGTTCAGCTTTATGAAAAAATGGAGCATTGGGGACTTGGTGTTGTGTATTTTAATCTAGTGTTCAGTTATATGGTAGTAAAGATCCTAATGGATACAGTCCAGTAACAGATTAATAAATATATACTACTTCATAAAGAATTATATGATCCCTCCAAAGACAATTGACCATTTTTCAAACTTCTTCCCTGATATATTCAGAAATCGAAACGGATCTAGGAATTTCATTAAATGGTCTTTCACATCTCCTGGGGTTTTTTTAAACACCATTTTGAAACATTATATGATCTCTCTCTCCATATCTATATTGTATTTTGAGTGATCTTTTAAACCATATTTAAACAAAAATAACCATATTTAATGGTCTAATTTTGTTTACTTAACGAATCTGTTCTTGACAGAATGAGTACAAGCCTCAGGGTGTACTATTGGTGGAACGAAGAATATTTTCAGTAATTTAATAACACCGCAAGAAAAGGAAAACCTTTCAAAGTATTACAAATACTGCATATCAATATCAGATTCCTTAAAATAAGCTCTGTTGAACTCAAAGAGGACAACTTCTTAGTAGTCACATGTATGATTGCATATTAGTTTTCTTTTTCAAGGACAATAAGATGATTTTCTGTAATTCAATGTTAAAAATGGCCTCTGGTGTTTTGTTTTAGCTTTTCCATAAAGCTGAGGGTCAAACAAGAACATTTTTTCCCCCACCCTCCCTTTGGGAGGCGGGAATAAGATTTGAAGTAGATTCAAGAAGCTTAAATGTAAATGCATTTTTATACAGAAAAAGTTTTTTTTTTAATGAAAATAGCATAAGGATATTGATCTTAGAAGTAAGGGGATCAGAGCAGGAAATGCTGCATCACCCCCTTGTGGTCATGTGACTGCATTTTGGGTGCTTGGCAACCGGTTCATGTTTACAACTGGTTGCCAGATCCTACAGTCACGTGATCACAATTTACTACTTTTATTCCTGGTTTCTGGCAAAAAAAACAACAGTTCAGGACAGAGTACAATTTAAGATCATGCAATTTGATTAATGTCTGCAAACTTTGGACTTATGACCCTGTGATTCATTTAACAATTACTGTAAAAACAATTGTAAAACTGAATCCAGTCATGTGGAGACGTCACCTTGTGAGCATCTTGACTTAACATTAGAAATTCTGGTCTCAAACTATAGTCGTAAGGTATACCTATAATGTAAATATTACATAAATAGTATATGTATATATACATTTTTGATACACTTCTATAACCATTGTATTTTTTTAAGATATTGTATTTTATAGGATCCTGTATTTTATTATATTTATTATATTATATTTATTTATATTTTTCCATTTATATCTGTGTCTATAGGCAACCACTTATGAGCAGCAAGCATAATTA